CTATTAATTATTTGCCAATCACAAAAACCATTTTCCACACTTGAATCTGACCATGATTTGACACAAACATACCTTTGTTAAACGTGCGAAAATCGCGACGATCTGAAAACTTGAAATTTCAAACTACGAAGTACGATTATTTTTGCACAAACGTATCAGGGTGAACCGGTACGCCTAGCTGGCCGACGGACGGCATGATTCTCCCCACGTACAAACGTGCGTGCTGCGTATCGGCCGATACACTGGAATTGCGGCCAGCCCGATACGCTGACAGAAATGCCGATCACATTTTTTTAGCCCCTGATACACACAATATAATTATCATACACGCCATTAAAATGTACAATTTGATCGTTACATACGCCATTATTTCATCTTGACATGCAAAATCTTGACCAAAGTCCTGTTTTTCTGATGCATGTGTGATCAAAATGCACACGATGACGTGTTCTGTCGACCACCAGCAGCACCCAGCTAACATACAGCATGGTACACTGGTTCCCTTCGCCAGCTAACGGAATCAATGCTATGATGAAGGACCGGAACCAGTGACTACTGCCTCTCTCCGGTCCATACATCGTATCATTCCATACAGCATGATGATGTAGTGGGCCGAAGTTGGATCGTAAAAATATTACCAAACAAACATCGCTGGAGAAAGAGAATTTCTGCGAATTAATTCACAGAACGATCACTTTCTGTGTATGTGTTTTCCATTAAAATGACGAGATTGCAAAGCTCGAACTTGTGGCGAAACATCGTAGCGTGTTTCTGCAGTAGTGCAAGATTTTCAGCCACGTGGGCCGTGAGCACGGCGCGATGTTCGGCCAGCCAGGCGGAATGTTGGTGGTGCCAGCGGCCGTGATGTATGTTAAGCATAAAGTGGAATCACCGACCTCAAATATATTTTTAATTAGGTGAGGCAAGTTTTAATCACTTTTGATAGCCAGTCTTGATAATTTTCGTGGCGCAAATGAAAATAATCCAGGCACAAATAAACATGATTCCTTGCTCTATGATTAGTACGAATGATGCTCCATTAATCAGCTATCGCTATTTTGAAAGGCATGTAATCGGAAGCAAAAGTTATTTTTTCTCCACCTTAGTTTCTTAATTTGAAACTTACATGTAAATGTAATTCATACTTTTCTAGTTAGGAAGCAGTGAAACACAGGTTGTAAAATGTTAAAAAAAATTTAAGTTAACAATTTTGACTTTTTCTTTAATTACGAAAAAATTAGTGACCTACAAGATCTCCTCTGAATTTCAAGGGCAAATCTTAAGATAAAGACCAGATTTTCTCTAAAATGCACCAGAAAGCTTCTAAAGTTCAAACATTTTCGGGTTGTTGAATCACAGCAAATCTTCCCCCACATGTTTGAAAAAATTCTGGGGAGAACCCTGGCCGACAATACGAATTAATTAGGATTGAAATGTACCGATTGAATATCTTCAATGCTTGAATAGTGGTTTTGTACAATTTTTTTTGCGAAAGAACACGCATGGGCATGAGAACTGAAATATAAAAAAAAAATACAAAATAAAATTATTTCCCTACCTACCTGGATTTTTTTCAGGCCGTTACCGTAAACTCACAATTTTTTTGTTTGACCTTATTATTAAAATGAAATCTAAGATGGCGGTTATTTTTAAGTGTCCAAGATGGCTGCCATCCATTGGGACTACCCCGTCAAATTTGATTTACTTGGGTTCCTTGCTATCGAAAACATAGGGTTTGCCACGAATGGACTTCATATGACAATCAGGTCCGAAGTTATGATACAAATTATGTCCGAAATGGCGGCCATTTTGAAATATCCAAGATGGCTGCCATCCATTGGGAGTACCCCGTCAACAATGATTTACTTGGATTCCTTGGTATCAAAAAACATAGGGTTTACCACCAAAATGGACTTCATATGACAATCAGGTCCGAAGTTATGATACAAATTAGGTCAGAAATGGACACCATTTTGAAATCCAAGATGGCCGCCACATGGTAGATGGACAAAATGTTACCAATGGATTCTGGCTGAGGAAGGTAAACTCTATCCAAAACTGACAAAAATTCCTTCTATAGCAAAAAAAAATGCAAAGGTCAAAAATACGACATAATATACACGTACTATATACTAAATTGCAAAAACATAATTTTTGACGTCATCCCACGAAAGGGCGCCCTCAAGCGGCACATCAAAACAGTGTAATCTTTCAAAATATTAAAACCCTCAATCCAAATTTTTATAAAATTAATAAATCCCGTGAGCAACCACAAATAAATTTGCAAAATTGTAAGGTTTCATAACTTTTGCCCACAAAAATGACATCTGTTACACTTGATATTGACCTTTTGCTTTCAAATACTGTGACGTCATCAACCGGAAGTTGGGTGTTATTATTACATACACTTCATTTCCATATTTCCATGCGTTATTTTTACTTAATGATAAACAAGTGTCCTCCCTCCCGTTTTTTTACTGATGACGCCATCAAACCAGAAATAACTTGTACGTGTACCTAAATGTTTACTGAAATTTATCATACCCTAAAAGATTCTTTTTGTACAAAATTATTGGTACTGGAGATGTTAAAGTTCAATTTTATCTGACATGAACATATTCATAACTTAACCGGACAATGTCTAATGAAATAGTTGTCTACCCAACCACTCTGCGTTTGTAACAATAAACACGAACCTCTAGTTGTTTTTATGGTATGGATCCAGATGGCTCCACAATACCCAGCTTTGAGCGAACTAGCGTCTTTTATGCAGTTTCCTCAACCTTTTTCTACAGGAATGGATATTTCGTCGCAGAAGCCCAAGCATTTTACATGTATTTGCTTTAGGCCCTATTTGCTGTTTGGTTGATATGACAGGCCCAATTGAGATTGTTGCTGATTTCTACCCCCAGGTACATGTATGATTGATGTTGTACTCCCTGCACCCGATTTCACCAAACTCTTCGTAACTTATGATGCATCGCGGCGTCGTATCCCTACGAGGCGTCGCAGCTGCAATCCATTTCACAAAACACGTCGTAAGTGCGACGCGTCATATGTGTATTTATAGCACAACTCGGTGACTGTTTTATGTTTTTAGTCAGTGTACAGTAAACCGTCGTCTGATATTCAACAAAGAGTTGTCCGATCTCAGCTCGAAATTTGTTAAAACGTAAAACAAAATGGCAGTCGTGCATCGCAGGGAAGGAAAACAAGCTCTCAGTGGACTGCAAAGCTACTTTGAAATTTCAACTGCAATATTCCAGTCTAATTCATAATTATTCAATGAATTTTCTATTTACAACTTTACACACATTGCCTCAGTATTCTAATCTTGTTTACATACATGTATGTAATGTTTGTGTCACAAAACTGGCTAAAAACGGACTCTTCTTATTTTGCGACGACTACTAGACACGTCGTAATTTGCGATGTGTTTTAAGCCATTGTCAAGGAACTTACGAAGCGTTCAACACATCACAACTTTCGTGCAATGGATTTATATACGACGCGTCGCGAGTTGCGACGTGTTTCACGTTGTAACTCGAGTTGCGACGCGTCGCATCGCTTCGTGAAATCAGGTGCTGGTGAGTGGGTCGGTTTTGTGAGAAACATGCATGCATGGTGTAGCACTTTGAACTGTTGAACGACATTTGCCATTTGCCTTCTCATTTACAGAGTGAGTCGATGTCTTTTTGAAGTAGCTCACTGTCCTGAGGTGATTATATCTCTATACATGATGCAATCATCCGCGAAGAGTCTTACTTGTGATGAAACTGGTCTGGTCTGGTCTGGAAGGTCATTTATGTAGATTAAAAACAGCAAGGGACCTAGTACGGTTCCCTGGGGTACTCTGGAAGTTAAGTGTGATTCAGATGATGAAGATCATTAAGGAGAACACTCTGCTGCCTGTCAGTAAGGAGATCATCCACCAGTCCTGCAAGCTGTGTCACAGGATCTCCTTCGTCGAAAACTATGTTGTCGATTTGAAAGAACGTGGGGGGATCCAGGTGATCCATTATATGATGGGGTATTATGTGTCCAGTAGTTTGCATGGGATGGAAGTCGGCGACACAGCCGGTAATTTGCTGGGTTGGTCCTGTCGTCTTTCTTTACATAGGGATGATGTTGGCATTACGCCAGTCCCGAGCTAGTGCC